TCTCCATATCATTCTCCACAGTGGCTGGACCAATTTACATTTCCACCAACAGTGTAGGAGTGTTCCCCTTTCACCACATCCCCACCAGCACTTTATTATTATTATTATTATTATTATTATTATTATTATTATTATTTTAATCTTCGCCATTCTGACTGGGGTAAGGTGGTGTCTCATTGTGGTTTTTGATCTGCATCTCCCTTATAATGAGGGATGTGGAGCATTTTTTTCCATATGCTTTTTGGCTGTTCGCATGTCTTCCTCAGAGAGTTGTTTATTCATCTCATTAAATACTTAACTTTTATATGCTCTAGTTCCTTCATCTGCAAAGAATACATAAGGATGGGCATGGTCTATCCTTCGTGGGGTTTTATAAATCAGACTAAATAAGTCTGTTTGTGAAAAGCATCAAGAGCAGTACCTGGCACATACCAATAGAAGGTGCTTGGTAAATGTGAGGCGTTTTATTCTACATTCAGAAGAAATGGGCTGACATCGTCCAGTGTGCCATGCCCATCATTCACAGCAGATGCCCATTCTGTTTAATATCAGCCCTTTCCAAAAGGGAGGTTGAAACAGTTTTCGCACCTGCCTTTAATCTTGGTCTTCCTCCAGTACCTTTTCACTACCAAAACCCTGGCCCTGCTTCAAGGACTGCCTTGATTCTGCAACCTTCATGAGTTCTGCTTTGTTTTCCTAATCAAAGACTATCTCCTCACAATTCTGCACTTTCCTCATACATTCCACATGACACTTGTCAGAGCCGGCCTTACGTTAATTAATTTACTTGTGAATATGACTCCCCTCCCAAGCTTAACAGAGCATTCCTCCAGCACCAGGCCTAGTTTCCCTTTGTGTTTACCCAGAGTACCCGCCATGGTGCTTGGCATGGCTTATCCAATGGGGCCAGTTCTGCTCACTAAGAGCTGCTGAGTCTATCTCTTGTTATACTTTGTGAATGTCTATCAAATGAATGAATAAATGAATGCTTGAGAATAGAAGAAAGGGAGGGAAGATAGGAAAAAAAAATCTCTCTTCCAATACACTAGGCTTCCTCTGGAGTAAGAGTCAGAGCAGGTTGGGTCTTTGTAGCAAAGCAAGAGAGAAGTGGGTTTGGCAAGCTTTTTATCAATTCTGCATCATGTGTTCCAGAACCCACAGCTGGCCACATGCTATACAGCAAGCATTCCCATAGGTATGAGAAGTTGGACATGCCCCTTGATACTGCCAGGCAACAGCCTAGGCCTACCTCATACAGCAGCACTGAGAGCAATGTCACAGCTGAAGAGGATGAGGAGAGAACTGAAACGAACAAGCCCACCAGTGGAAGAGATGAGATATATGACATGGTTCCTCAGGAAGACATTGGACATGACTCTGAGGGGCGAGCAGAGTATAATCTCATCACTCCAAGTGGCCCAGTGGTTGACGGGGACACAGTGTATACACAAGTATTTCTCAATTTTCAGGTGAGCCCCTCCAGTCAATATGCCTTCCTTCCCCTCCCACTTCTAGGAACATCTGATATCCTGAATGACCAGTTCTTCCCAGTTAGGAGCCAAGGACGGGGGATGGCACCAGGGGCATTTAGGCAGGGAATCATGGCTCTCTGAGCTTGCCAAACCTTGAGGTCCCTTGGAATGGAGGAACTTGATCTTCAGCTCCCATTCCTGGGTCACTAATAAAGGAAGTATTGGGGAACTAGAGACATCCCTCTGTGTGAGATCGGATATTGGTGGTGTATCCCCTCGCCTCAAAGATGAAACTAAAAAGCACTAATTGGTGATCAAGACTAATCTGATATTGGTCTGTTACAGGCAAAGACCCCTGTTCCTCCAAGGAAAGAGGAATCGGCCACAATCTACTGCTCTATACAGAAACCAAGCATGGTGAGAATTTTCCCTGTATCCCAGTACCCAGAAAGTGAGGAACTATATTCCTCAAACCATTTTAACTGAAGGTTCTAGATTCCCATGGCTGAGGAGCCTAAATTATGCCCATTATACATCCCGCATGCAATCCATAGTCAAAAGATACTTAAACAAGTATTTCTCATTTACATCTGTATGAACAAAAGATTGCCTTAATATAATAATATCTTATGTTGATTATTCTTAACACTGGCCGGAATGAGAGCTTCTAAATTCAAACACTGTATGTTCTCTACATGTTTCTAAATATATTTTAAGTATATTTGTTTATATGTTCTATGAGCAAAATAGAGAAAGCCACACCCAACAGGGTCTTGACTCCGTTATCCACCCCTGCCCTCAGCCAGCCTGGGATCATGGGTACACACATGTCTGGTGTACTCAGGGCGGTCTCCGAATGTGAACCTGGAACTTTCCCACACAGGTCAGCTTCAAAAGCATCACATTTTGCTGCTGTGCCACCTGAATCCTGGGCCATTGCTCTGCAATTTAAGCCCTACCATCTGAATGATCTTTATATAAATGTTCATCTTATTGCTCCAGCTGGGGCAGAAATTGGGATCATTCAACTGTAGCTTTTGTTTGTTTGTTTGTTTGTTGAGAGAGAGAAATTTTTGCTATCAGGCACATGTGCTTTCCAGACAGAGAGATGCAGACAGAAAGTGAGAAATCACCCTCCAGGAGTGATGGCCAAGCTGCATCACCTTCTCCTCCATTCTCCTCTCAAGATCTTGGGCACACATGCACACATGTCCAGCTTGAGTTCTAAGCCACTAGGTCTGGGACTATGTGGCAGTCCAGCAATGTAACCAATATGCATCTGCTGGTCCCCAACCATAGCTTCTTGAGGGCAAGGCCTTTTATTAACATTTTGGAATCCAATGGGTTTGCTGCACTAAATGGTCTCGTATGGCTTTTGCAGAGTCCAGACATGGTCTTTGTCATTAAGAGAATTCCTAAATCCACGCCATCAGCTTGCTTGATTGCTCAATGCCTAAGCCAGTTGCATGACCCTACTTCCAGAGAATGGACCAGTCATAGCCTGACCTATTTGTCTCTCTCCGCAGTACATGGCTGAGGAAATGGGCATCTTCCAAGGTGTTATTATCCATGTTTTTGTGTGTTTTTTTGGCTCACAGGTGACACCCACACCACGCCAGAATGATCATGAGTCTTCTGAAATACCTACCTATGAAAATTTTACCTGAAAAGAAAAGCAGCTGCTACCTCTCTCCTAGGGCCCTGGGGTTGGAGAGGCAGCAGGACCTCTTAGGGCCTGAGGCTGCTGCAGACAGAACTGCATCAGAACTCCCTTCATTTCTGGGAGATGCCTGGATTTGACACTCGCAAACCCATTTATTGTTCAGACATGGGCTCTTTCTTGAAGCATATGAACTTCAGATGTGCTTACGTTGTCTCCTTGCATGCTTGGGCTGTTTCCACCTCTCGTCCCAGACATGCTGCCTCAGAACTCTCCAAACCTGGTCAAATTCATTGAAAGGGACCTGGACTAATCAACTTTCACATCGTCCTCTAAACAGCTGCTAAAATGAGTTCCGCAGATATCCTCACACATGGACACAAAGATCTCTGAGAGACGATGCTCACTGCAATGGTATTTAAAATAAACAGTGGGGTGGCCAGCAGGTGGCATGGTGGTTATGATGCTGGGTTCCCACATTATGACTATGGTTTAAGCCCTAGCCTGGTAGCTTCCTGTTTCTCTCTCTCTCTCTCTCTCTCTCTCTCTCTCTCTCTCTCTCTGTGTGTGTGTGTGTGTGTGTGTGTATGTGTGTCTCTCTCTGGTGAACACAAGTGCCCTATAACAAACTTTTAAAAAAATCAAGAGGAAAAGAAAGAAGCAAAACATTTAAGGGACACAAAAATTTAAAAAATGATAATGTGTACAATAATATCTTTAACTGCACTAATAAACAGTGTATTCATGCTGGGAAAATTCATTTTACATGGAGTAATGATATGCAGTGATTGAATGTATAAAAAATGGCGCAAATATGGAAAATAATAATAAAATAAAATAAAAATTTTTTGGAGAGGTTTTTGCTATAGGGTGCGCGCGCTCACCAAACAGACAGAGAGAGACAGAAAGACAGAAAGTGAGAAATCACCCCCCAGAGGGGACAGCCACTCCACAACCCCATTGGATAT